GAAGACAAAGCGCTTTCCATGAAGACGATTACTAAATTTCCCTGTATTTGAATGAATCAAGATGTAAATGGCGTCAAGCCGTTCACTTCCAGATCTAAACAACCCAAAACCCTATAGACACCAACAATTTATCTGAAAATTGACTCTAATTGAGCAGCAATGCTCTTGTCTCATGCACCGCTAAAGCTGTCTTTGTTCACCTGTGGAGGCAACAATCTACGACTTCATCCAGACAGACTGCCACATACCTGGACCATGATGCATTCATCAAGAGCCCGAGCAAACGTTATCTTTCCCTCCCGACCGCAATTATCAAATTGTTTTCGATAATTGTACACTCGAAAAAAAAAAGTCTGGCTTTTATTATTCCGTTTTTTTTTATAAAAGGTTATTGAGTTGCATTAGTTTACATTTAGTGGTGGAATATCTGTATATCAGTTTTGAATGTGTTGATGTCTTCGGCATTTTTAATTTCTATAAAATGTTTAATATCATCAGCGTAAATTAAAACTTCAAGTTATTTAGGAATAAAGGATGCATCGTTTACAAACATAATTAATAGAATAAGTCCTAAATGAAAGCCTTGTGCGACTCCCGATGGGGCATCAATAGGGGTTGATTTTTTTCCTTTGAATCTTACTATTTGATCGCAATTGGTCAGATATGATATGAGCTTTTTAAGGAGATCGGATTGCATTCCCACCTTTTGCCATTTCATAAGTTTGCTTAAGTCCGAATACAAAATATCTACATGGTTTTCGTTTTCCATTGCTTCCAGAGATTAATTTATGAATTTGAGCAAATTTTCGGTCGTCGAATGACCTTTAAAGAAGTCGTGTTGAATCTATACATATAGTAGTAATAATTTATCATTGACACGGCACAGTATGCAAATCGAAGAAGGTCGAGTTTTTCCGACTAGTCATTTGATGTGGAACTGCCAAGCCTGTATTGAAGTTGACATGGAGTGGTATCCACTAGTTGCCTAGTGCAGCTCCACTAAAGCCCATTCCTTACTCTCTCCTCTGCCTGGATCCCCCCGGGACCACGCTGAAGCGACTACTGCAAGGGGGCTGTGCTCGTGCACTTCTCATACTCTCATTCCAAGTGCCTTCCTCTGGGCACATTTCATCGACGACATTATCTACGTTAAAGACAGACATCTCGCACCTTGGACAGTCGAAGACCACATGCATAGGCGTTCATCCACGTTGCCACACTCCGGACAGAGGGGTGACGCTGCGTGTCCGAACCAACGCAGGTATTTCTTGAGGCAGCCATGGCCAGACACGAACTGCGTCAGGTGGTGGATGACTTCTCCGTGTTTTCTGTTCACCTAGGTCGAAAGAATCGGTAATAACCGATGTGTCCATCTATCGTTATCCACCGTGTTCCACTCTTATTGCCACTTTGCCAAAGACTCCGCTTCCACCACTTTCCGTACTGTACCGGATTCTCTCCGACTGTAGCACTCGCTGTCCTCTGCCGGGTGATGCCGATAGGGATCATTCCGGCGATAGCGCATACTGCTAGATGAGATGGTTCTGTACGCACTCACGACTCGCATGGCCATGCGCCTAAACCTACTGCTCAGTTTCCTTTGGGTCTGCTTAGTTTCCAGTGCTGCTCCATACCTCAGTATCTAGCCAGAAGACGCCTCTTGATATTGCTGGGAATAGAGTTGTTTAGCATGATTCTAGCTATTGTGTTGATGACCTTCGAAACATTCTCTCAGACATATTCGACGGGGTTGTTGAAGTTTAGCCGGTCATCAATCATCACTCCCAGGTATTTCAACACGTGCTTGGAGGTAAAAGTGTGCATTGAACCAAGGATGGAGCCTTGTGAAACTCCCACTGTCATCCTAATCGATCTCTGCCCCACGTCTGTCTCGTAGACCAGAACCAGGTTCTGGAAGTAACTCCTCAGAATCCTGTACAGGTAGCCATCCCAAGTAACAAATCTAGAGCTGCTTGGCTATATTCAAAATTTATAAAGGTTTTATTGCAGCTGCCAGCATTACCTACAGCTTTATCACGGTCATATACAATGCAAGTCATGAAACATTCTTATAGCTATCTACAAAACCCCTATAAAGCTAATTAAAAAACCAACTGATGCTTATGCTATTTTCACTTATGAAAGGTTTTATGATTGCTTTGAAGCATACAAAAAAGTAATATGAATTGCCTTTATAAAACCAAAAAATAAATCCTTTCGTTGCTTTATAAGTAAGCGCAATAAAACTAGTTGGCAATGAAACAGTTATTTTAAAACAATTATAAGTAGGTATTCAGTTGCAACTTGTCAGAAATGTAAATAGGTGCTTTATTTTTACAACATAGAAAAGAATAAAAACTTTCCGGTACTTCCAAGCGGAGCGCAAAGAAAATCAACAAAATTGTTAGCATGAGCATGAAAACATTTCGTGTATACGTATACGCGACGTAGCAATCTCAGCAATCTCCATGATTCTTCCAAACGTCAGCAATCTCCATGATTCTTCCGTTCTCGCTTGCATATACATGGGGTGACACGGTCGAATCTTGGTTGAAATCACGCATAACTTTTCATAAAGTAGAATAGGAATATACATTTGCCCTCAAATAAAAAAATTAATTCAAGCTGAACATTGCATTAGGTCCTAAGTAATATTAACAGATTCGCTTCGTCAACTTTCTCTTTGCATCCTCACGGTCATGTAAAGACATTCCCAGGTATTTTCAGCACATAAATCGATAGCATCTAATACGACAAACACATCAAGAAACGGTTCTGTGAATAAGTTATTAACGAAAGAGAAAGTCGACGAAGAGAATCGATCAATGTTACTTAGGACCTAATGCAAAGTTCAGCTTGAATTGCTCTTGTAAACAGAAAATAGTTCTCGTAATAAAATCATGCATTATGCTTTTCTGTTCTGCTTTCATCCCATGCACACTGGGCCAGGAATGCAAGTCTTCAAAACGCCATTTCAATGCATTAAAAAAGTTATAGAAAAAAATAATGTTCCACTAAAATGAAGAAATCTACAAAACAGCAAAATATACCTCTCTCAAATTTTGATGTTTTGTTTATCGAGTATTGCTTAATTTTTGCTGAAAATGTCAGGTTGCGATTTTTTGCGCTTTAGGAGATATCAATGTTCAAAAAATGTGTTTTTTTTCTCGTTTTTTCAACAATATCTTTGAAATTTGAAGCTTAATCCAGTATGTTTCTTCACAAAAGCTATTTATTTAATGTATTTGCATAAGAGAAAAATATAACATTATAAAGCTGTAAGCAAAAAAACCGAAACAGAAAAAAAACCATATTTTCGACATGTTTTTCTTTAACTCCATATAACTTGGAACCAGTAGACAGTGGAAATTTAACGTCTTTGAAAGAGCTGTTCATTTTGTCAAGATAAACAACTTTGCCCAAGACATCAAGTCTCCAAAACGTCAGAGAAAGAAGTTAGATTGTGGTACCATCTTTGCGGAAGAGTTTTGAACTATTTGTTTATGTCAATAGATGGTCCTTATTATGACGAGACGTTTTGTCGAAGACACCAAGTCGCGGAAATGCTTCGTTTCGGAGTTATTAATTTTGCTCCGCTAGGTTGCATTCCTAACCCAGTGTGCAATGTAAGCATTAGACATTTTAAGAAATTGCACTTGGTGTTTTTCTTGCCTGCTGTCCTCTGTCGCCATATTGTCATTATGAAAATACCATTAGCCTTGGAATAAAATCCAAGAAATTTCAATAAAATAATGGCTAAATAAGAGATCCGAAATTATTTCCAGTGTGCATTGGTATGAATTTATGTATTGAGATCAATTTTCTGTAAAATTAAGGTGATTCCATCAAATTCATTTGATTTCTGAAACAATCTTTTTTGTTAACTTGAATTATTTTGGAGGCGCATTTATTTAACGCTCATATTATCTCAATATACACGATAACATTTCAAGCGCATATGTTTTGGAACTTCTAAAAAGTAATATACTTTCTTTAAGATTTTCGCTAATGTCGCCATGAAACAAAATTGATTGCATGGTGATCTTGACACCAACACTCAAACCTATTTTTACCGCTAAAGATTTCCATTTGGAAAAAAAAGTTTCAGCAGAACAGAACAACAACAAGCTAATTTATGGCGGTTGCTTTGAAGCCAATACAAATTAAATTGGCTTTATAGCTGATTTTCACCAAAGCGTAATAAAACTGCTTGGATACAATATTACTCTTATAGAGGCTATGAGAACCTTTAGTAGAGTATAAGGCTTCCTGACAAAAGGTTTTAAGACAGCTTTATTGTGATTCTCAAGCATGCTTTATAAACCTTATCAAGAGTGGTCCACTAAGCTGTATGACGATCTTATAGCGGTTATCAAAAGGTTGTGCTGGAGCTATTAATTTTATTGGCGGTTTTATGAAATTGATCTCAATAACCACTAATAGAGTGCAATAAAACAAGAAATGCTACTTGGGCAGGGACCCTTATTCTATGCAGCGCTTTGGCAATGACTTTCCAGCTGCGCGTTGAACGCATTTATTGACGTCGATCGTTATCACGGCGCAATATCGATCTCCTCTTCGCTTCTGTTTGGACACCTTCTCGGCTCTCTCGATCATTATCCGAATTGCATCCACCGTTGATCTCCCTTTCCGGGATCCAAACTGCCTCTCCGACAATCCAAAACAAAAGGTGATAGAGATGATTAGGTTGAAGCATTGTTCCTCTCCGTTGAATTTGCGATGACGAAATCTCTTTAAAATTGAAAGTTTTCGGACCACAGTGCACTGCTTCAAATCCTGCAACGTGATTTTTTCAAGTGTATCTCGAAAAAAAAAAGCAATCATCGTCAATTTGATACCAATTGATATCGTTTTCCAATCTCCCATAGAGGCAGTAAAAGCCTTATCATCTGAGAGACGGAACAAGATATCGGGACGGGCAATTGTGCCACACTCAAGTGCCAATCGAACTCAGTCGATTGCGTTCCGTCGGTTGTGGTAGTGGAAGGATTAGAAGAATTTTACATTTAGGCAGACATTTTTGACTTTTCGAGAAATTATCTCGCGTGAACGATCGGGCTAGAAATGTGATAACAGAACATGGGATTTAGAGAAGAATTTCAGCGCAGCTGGGCGAGGTTTGGAGGTTTTTTGGTTGTTTTGATATTAGCTGGGACTGCCAATGTCAATGGTCAAGGTAATTTGATGGGGTTTAGTAGAAGAACCATCGATTTGAGCGGAAGGCGCTTGACAAATGATGAAATAAGGTGTCATGTTAGACATCGATGAAGTAGACACATTTTCTGGTGAAAAATCAATTAAGTGCTATGATTAGAATCTTATCTCGATGACGGCAACAGACGTTTTGCGTCTGTTTTGATTGACCGGAGCATTTTTGACGGTTGAGGCGCTGCTGGAGAACTTTTGATGGTTTCAAGAAAACATCTCAAAACATACAGTGAAATCATACTCCTTAGTTCATCTCAATCGCTATAAACGGAATGAACGATGATTCATTCAGCCTGCTTTCAGTTCTGCCAATCACCAATGATAAGATTAAACCCACTCGACTGATATATCAACTTCCTCAATTGAAAACAATCTTTCCTTAGATTGCTCGTCCGATACATTTAACTTCGATCTCACGACAATAGTGATCTACAATATCTCCGCCAAGCATGTGAACATGCCCATAGCTAGGTACGCAGTCGAGCATGTCTCTGGGGTCACCGTGTCAGAATTGCAGGGCTATGGGCTCTACATTACCGCTGAACTCAACGCAGAAGATCCCAACGAGCTGATCATTAGTACCAACGAAGCATTCAAGGACTTCCTACAGATCGAGACAATTCCACAGCTCGAAAGCCAGTTGTATTTCACGTGCACATCTGGATCGCGGTCAATTCGCATACGGGTAACGATCAAGGATGAAAACCTTTTTCCACCAACCTTCAGTAAGGCAGAGTACACCATCCAATTACCATTGCCGCTGCCCAAAAATTTCGATCTTACGCAGTACGTCGATGAGGTGAGATATTCGAAAATTGTAACTCATGCAAACTTAGTTGACCATCTCTCCTCTTGACCCCATTCCAGGGAAAGGGCATCATCGCCTACGACAACGATTTGATCGGAAATGAAGTCAGCTTCAAGATCGATGACAATCCTTACTTTCTAGTTGAGCAAGAACCGGGAGCTTCGAAGAAGCAGTTCATAGCTAGAATACGAACTAAGGAAACCTTAACGCGACTAGAAGAAAATCTCTCAGTGACGATCATCGGAACGGACGCTGGAGATCCTCCAAAGACGGGTAGTGCCGTGCTCAAAATTTCCGGCGATCCCTTGATACCGTACATTGAGCCGCCACAGTTTGTAGATCCACTGTACCGCATAATCTACAACCGATTGGAAACATTCTCCCCCATTGAAGTCAACTTAGTAGCTGGAACTTACGACAGCTCCTCCAGATTTATACTCAGCGGTGAGAATAGCGATATGTTTACTATCACGGAGAAGGGGGATCGCAGTGGAGCTTCCGTCACGCTGAGGACAGGTGTCACAATTCCGGAAACGATGAACTTCCTGAGCGTTGTAGTCACGGCCAGTAGGACAGGGTCCGAGTTGGATGGCCGAACGGCGATTGTGGTCGATGTGGAACAAGAAGTGAAAGTTCAACCTGCCTTTGAACAGTCAATCTACGCTGGGACTGTTGATCAGGACCGAGTGATCTCACTAGAGACAGACGTGAAGCTGATAGGTTCTACGGTTCTCGAAGGAGCTGACGTAAGCCTGGGTGGAGAAGATGCAGAATTTTTCACGTTTCTTGACAATGGTGGAACAATTACATTTAATGCTACTGATAACTTGACGGCGGAAGTTCTGCAGAAGAAGTTCTACTTCCATTTCACAGTGCAAGCAACTAAAGCAGACGTTGGAAGTGCCATTGCGTTTGTAGTTCTGGAAGTTCTGAAACAGGATGTGATCCTTCCAAAATTTGAGCAACCGTTCTACGAAGGAAGCCTAACTGAGGAAGGAATTGCAGAGATCCCTGAAGTAAAGATCACTGAAAATACCTACGTCGATAATATAAAGTTCAACAGTATGGGAGACACTGACCTCTTCTCAATCAACATTGCTGGTAACAAGATTACGCTGGTCCCTAAAGGAATTACCGAGGAAAATCTTAGTGGGAAACTATATCTGCTTGTCCGAATCAGTGCATCTCAAGAACAAGAGGTCCAGGCAGAAACGATCGTCATAATCAAGATCATTAGGCAAGAGATCATCACCCCGCAATTCGAAAACAATTTCCTCCAAAGTCAGCTAGTCGAGGAAAATCTTCAGTTCACACCTGTAAAGGTAGTCGTAAATCTTACCACATGGACAACCGCCACGGAAGTGTTCCTAAAAGATTCCAGAAACATTTTTGACCTGACTCCAACTACGATTCAAAACGAATACAGCATAAATCTTCGGAGTGGAGTAGAAATTCCCCGCGATTCACATCTCACGGTACTGGTCGAGGCCAACAACCCAAAGTCCAGTGCAGCTGCCTGTTTTGTGTTGATCGAAGTCATTCGTGTCCCGTTGGTTTCTCCAGAGTTCGAACAAACCGTTTACGAAGGCACCATAGACAGCTCCGGAAGTCTACAGGAACTGAAACTCAAGCTTAAGCCAGAAACCTACGACGACTCGATCGCCTTCAGTCTAGTAGATCAAGACTCGGACCTCTTCCAACTGCAAAAGCTGGAAACCAACGAACTGCTCATCACTTTCAACGAATCGACGACCATGGATGATTTGGCCAATCGCAGCAATCTACGTTTCAACGTTCGAGCTGTTAAATCCGGATCACCGGAAGTCTTGGTACCCGTTGTGATTTTCATCGAGAAGGCGGAAGTGCGCGTTCCACGCTTTGTGAAGCCGTTGTATAGATCATTTATCGGTCCTGAACTAGTTCTGGAACGATTTGAAACGATCCAGCTGGTAGAGGAAACTGCTGCACAAGGACTAGAACTGGAAATCCTTCAGAACAACACAGATCTGTTCATGGTGCAGATGGTGCAAGGAAATAGAATCACGATCGAGCTGAATAAGAACTTGACTTCCGATGACTTGGAAGGTCTGGATCGGTTGGAGTTCGTGATAGAGGTGACAAATCCGGGCGCTGGATCCGGCTTTGCTACGATTGTAGTTGACATTGTACGGGAACCTGTTGTAGTTCCTGAGTTCACGGAGGTCTCCTACTCCGGGACGCTTCAAGAAGGTTTTCAAGTGATGACTTTTACAGAAGAGATTACTTTGAAGCCAGGGAGCATAACAAATGACGTGCAATATGTAGTTGTGGGAGAAGATTCCGCTTTGGTGAAACTATCAATCAACGAAGATCTTAGCTTGAGTTTTTCTCTTCTGGAAGAAATCACCGTGGAACAGCTAAAACTCAAAAGTCAAATAAACTTCATTGTTCAAGCTTACAACCCAGGAAGCGTAGCCACATCTGCCAGCATTGTTGTTCGGATTGTTCGACCTGTACAGGTTGCCTTCAGAAAGTCATCCTTTAACGGAGTCCTAACCGAAGGTCAAACTTTGGTTGATTTCCAATCAGATCAAATACAATTTATGGAAGGTACACTTCTGGCAGGAGTCAGCTTTGAACTCTCTGAAGGAGAGTCTAATCTCTTTCTGGTTTTAATGACTGCAGAAAATGTCGTGCAGCTATCTTTGAATCCTTCAGTTATCTGGAATCAGATTCGATTCAATTATTACCTATCATTCAAACTGTCGGCAACAAATCCAGGATCGGATCCAGCAACTACCACGATCATAGTCAATATCGTCAATAACCCAGTGCCCACGCCAGTCTTCACCAAGACCTTTTACCGAGGTTCTCTTCAAAAAGGCATCCGCGAAGTGAGTTTTTCCGCTCCAGAGGTGATCACGCTACAAGCAGACACGGTCACGACCACTTTAGCCTACCAGGTCACCGAAAACGACGCCGACTTGTTCGACGTGGTCCGCGAGGATAACAAATTCAAGGTATCACTGAACGAAGCCCTGGACGAGCAGATCATCGAAGGCCGCGATCTTCTGAGTTTCAGAATCGAGGCCAACAACCAATTCGGTGCAACGGACAGCGCCACAATCATTGTGAGCATTCAACTGGAAGAGATCATAGCACCGGTATTCGTGGACGTAATCTACCGTGGATCGATCAAGGAGCAATCTTCGGATTTGTCTTTTTCAACTGAGATGAGGTTCCTATCGGGGACCGCAAATGGTAACACTGAAGTTGGATTAACTGCCGGCGATGCGGATTGGTTTTCGGCAACTCATGACAACTCCAAGGTGATCATTACAGTTAAGGACTCAAACTCAATCAAATGGGATGAGATAACCGACCGCAGCTTTTTAAGTTTTGCCTTGCAAGCTGTCAATCCGGGAAGTTCGTCAGCATCGGCTTTTGTGATCTTGGATATCCAAAGGACAGCTGTGATCACGCCAAAGTTCAAATCGCTATCGTTCCAGGGGAGCTTGAAGGAAGGATCACGTGAAGTGGACTTTTCCGAGGGAGCAGCGATCGAGTTGCAGGAAGGCAGTTTGATTCCAGGGCATCAGCTGTCATTGTCCGGCAGTGACTTCGAATTGTTTGAGCATGAGTTGGAGGGGCTTCAAGTGAAGATCACTCTTAAGGATAGCGTTACGAAGGATGATCTTGACGATCGTACGTATCTTCGATTCAACGTAGCAGTGACGAATCCAGGAAGCGAAACCGCAACGGCAAATGTTTTGGTAGATTTGGAGCGTGAGACTGCCCCTTTGAATGGTCCACTGTTTGAAAAGTTCTTCTACAATGGTTCTATAGGGCAAGATCTCATACTCAGTTTGGATGAGCCGATTGCGATTAAGCAGGAGACATATTCAGCTGATGTCCAGTACGAAATAGTTGAAACCAACAATGATCTTCTCCAAGTGGTCAAGCAAGGTCGAGAAGTCCTTGTGCAACTTGCGAGGCCAATCACGATTGATGATCTACAAGGTCCGCAAAGTCTCCACATAACCATCAAGGCCTTCAATGAACTGAGTGCAGAGAGTGTCTGCTTCCTTGTCATTTCGCTTCCAGAGGAGAGTCAAGGTAATAAGGATATCATTTTCTTCAAAAACGTCCATTATCCGTATTATTCTGTGATTTCAGAACCTTGTGCGTCCCCCGCACCACCTTCAGTCGACTGCACAGACTGTTACGATTGTACTTCGGGAGGTCCCTTAGATGATGTCCCCGTATTTGCATACGGCAACTACCGTTTCTTCTTTAAATCCGACAATACAGGTCTGATCGGTACCGTTAAAGCTACTGTGAAAGATCCTTCGACGATACTAGAGCACCGAGCAGACTTTACCGATGGTAAGAGCTATCCATTCAAATAACACATCACATTCTAAACGAGCTTCACGCTCTTAGCTTACCTCCGCTCCAGAGTATCCTTTTCGTTGGAGGGCATTCTTCGAGTAGAGCAACCTCTTCTTCCCGGTCAGTATACCTTCAAGGTCACAGCTCTCAACTCCCAGTCGCAAAAGCAATCTTCAGTCAACGTCCTGCTGGACATAACCCAAGACCAAGAGTGCCCAGCAAACCCGGAGGCACCGAAGATCACCACCGTCGAGAAACTTCTGCTCATTGAATCCCTCCAGGAGGAATCACCTCATCAGAACATATTCCCTTCCCAACTTGGCTCTTGCGAGTATGAACTGATCGACGAAAAGCCTTACCTTGGCTTTAGCTACTTTGAAATAGATTCTGAAACCCACTGGCTTACATCCCGTAGCTTCGATCGTGAAAACACGACCCTCTTCGATGGAATGATCATCCCACAGTTCCAGCTCCGACTGCATCTCGTTTGTCCAACTGATCCAAATCTACCACGCTTGATCAAACGATCGCTAATCGAAACCGGTGATCTAAACTATGCTCGAGATGTAACCGTGATCAACGTCATCGTGGTGGACATCAATGATAACAATCCTCAGTTTGTTGAACCACCAACATCAAACGACGCATTCCACATTGGATTTCCAGTTTCATCGATCGCCGCCGGGTTGATGCTTCCTCATCTGATCACCGTTCGAGCGGAAGATGCCGATGAAGGTTTGAATGCGGAAATTCGGTTCAGCTTGAGCAGCAATACTCACTTCGGAATTGAATCGGAAACGGGAATGATCTACCCGTTGAAGGATGCTATGAAAACGGATACTGTGACTACGATTGTGGTTACAGCTACCGATCGGGATGGAGCCAGTGACGGAAGATCTTCCTTAGTTCAGTTGCGCGTTCATCGATTGGAGGAAGATCATTTGGTCATGATGACTATTTTAGGGCAGGTGGATGCAGAAAACTTGATTCAACAGATCAATGCCAATACGAGGGGAGTTCAGGTGAAGGTGTTGACGCAGGCGAGAGTTCCCGAATTAACATCCGATAGCAAGTCCCTGAGGCAGTCTTCCTCCGAGGGAAGTATCCTTCGGATGATCGTTTACGCCTTCAACGGCCAAAATGAAGTGCAGAGTTCCGAAACGATTACAAGGTTAGTGATGAAGAGTAAATTTGAGCGCACAGTAATTGCAAGTGGATGTTCAATTTCAGCATAATTCAGTCGTCATCCGTTTCAACCATTGTAACTGCAGAGTCCTACACAAACGTGGCATGTTTGAACAATCCGGAATGCAGTGGATACCAATCCAGTGATGAAGCGAACGTTGGTCTCATCGTAGCCACATCCATTTTGGGAGTTCTCTTCCTGATTTCCACAGGCCTAGCCATCTTCCTATATGTACGATTCGTACGACCCCTGAACCGCGAACCGGCTAATCCATCGGACGTAGTTCAGTTGGAGAATGATTTCGAAATTTCACCACCCCCGTCTCCACCGATGTTGGCTGGAGGGAAGCTGAAAGCTACTGAAAGTCCCGAGATGGATGAACGGAAAACTTCGATCCAGATCCTGGGGATTACCGATCAGGGTGAGTGGATTTGATCATGCCGTTGGACATAACCTGAACGCATTGCCGTTCTGTTGCCTATTTCAGAATCCGAAGATTCCAGCATTCCCACGGCCCAGCTGGCGCACTCCCTGGATGATCGTCTAGAACGAGTTGACGAATACGGGACCATCTCTTCGCGGGATACCATCGAGGATTCTTCCTCGCTCTCAATGAATGAACCCCGAAACGTGAAATTCAACGAAATGGTCGAAAGAATAGAAGTCGTCGAACATCATCCGGAAGACCACCGAAAACACCGGGTGGACTTTGGTGATGACGATTCAGTCTACAGTGAGCGGATGTAGGTAGGCTTGTTAGTCTGTAGGCGTAGATTTATTGCATTACGAAACCTGGTATTTATAATAAAAGCTATTTTTACGAACTAAGGTAATGTTCGAAAACTTCAATCCGTTCGACATCCTCGCTGAATCGAATCGATTTTTTTCGCTGCCGATTTCCGTCAGGGGATTCTGCTTGGGGTTCAGTAGTGAGAACTGCTGTCGTTCCTTCACCTTCGTCTTCGTTAATGATGAGCATTCCCGAAAGCTTCGGAGCTAGACGATTGCTTCGGGATACACTGTCCGAGGAATCTGGAAAAGTATTACGGTCAAATCACGGCTGCTTGAATTTGATAAAACTCACAATCGACGGTAGCTCCATCGATGTCCTTCCTCTTTACCGGTGGGGTAGATCCAGCGTTCGTGTAGGGATTTTCCACGAGGACATTATCCGATTGGTTACTCGGATCGGAAAGTTGGCCGGGACTTACCAGAAGGCGCCACTTGAACCAGAAATAAGCCGACAGGGCACTGGTTGCTACGAACATTACGATAAATACGGACATGACCACAATGTACGGATAAACGGTGCAACCATCGTCGTCGTCCTCAGGCTGTTGATTGAAACATCCCAGTATTTCCAAATTGGAAACGGTCACGCCGTTGAGTGGCTCAAGACTTCTGAATAGTTATGAACAAGTAAATACAGTGTAAAAAAAAAAGATAGTTGAAAAGTTCCACGTCAAATGACGATTCGATACTATGCGACCTTCTCCGATTTGCATAATTGTTTGTTATGGTCAATCATTCACATTTTAGCGAAAAATGAATAGGAACGATTCTACGTTCTCTGATTTGCATAACACTTTGCATAATTATGTGTTATGGACAACCATTATCATTTTTGCAAAAATTCGGCCATTTAGGGTCTTGTATTTTTTTGTTTTTCAAAATGGCGTCTCTGACATTTCTCAATCAATTGTTGCATGAAAATGTCTCTTCTGATCGAAATAACATCTGGGAAAAAGTTGTTGAGAAAAGCAAAGTCTTTCTTTCTCTCGGTACTGGTCGAAGCCAACAACCCAAAGTCCAGTGCAGCTGCCTGTTTTGTGTTGATCGAAGTCATTCGTGTCCCGTTGGTTTCTCCCGAGTTCGAACAAATCGTTTACGAAGGCACCATAGACAGCTCCGGAAGTCTACAGGAACTGAAACTCAAGCTTAAGTCAGAAACCTACGACGACTCGATCGCCTTCAGTCTAGTAGATCAAGACTCGGACCTCTTCCAACTGCAAAAGCTGGAAACCAACGAACTGCTCATCACTTTCAACGAATCGACGACCATGGATGATTTGGCCAATCGCAGCAATCTACGTTTCAACGTTCGAGCTGTTAAATCCGGATCACCGGAAGTCTTGGTACCCGTTGTGATTTTCATCGAGAAGGCGGAAGTGCGCGTTCCACGCTTTGTGAAGCCGTTGTATAGATCATTTATCGGTCCTGAACTAGTTCTGGTACCATTTGAAACGATCCAGCTGGTAGAGGAAACTGCTGCACAAGGACTAGAACTGGAAATCCTTCAGAACAACACAGATCTGTTCATGGTGCAGATGGTGCAAGGAAATAGAATCGCGATCGAGCTGAATAAGGCCTTGACTTCCGATGACTTGGAGGGTCTGGATCGGTTGGAGTTCGTGATAGAGGTGACAAATCCGGGCGTTGGATCCGGCTTTGCTACGATTGTAGTTGACATTGTACGGGAACCTGTTGTAGTTCCTGAGTTTACGGAGGTCTCCTACTCCGGGACGCTTCAAGAAGGTTTTCAAGTGATGACTTTTACGGAAAAGATTACTTTAAAGCCAGGGAGCAAAACAGATGACGTGCAATATGTAGTTGTGGGAGAAGATTCCGCTTTGGTGAAACTATCAATCAACGAAGATCTTAGCTTGAGTTTTTCTCTTCTGGAAGAAATCACCGTGGAACAGCTAAAACTCAAAAGTCAAATAAACTTCATTGTTCAAGCTTACAACCCAGGAAGCGTAGCCATATCTGCCAGCATTGTTGTTCGGCCATTTAGGGTCTTGTATTTTTTTTTTCAAAATGGCGTCTCTGACGTTTCTCAATCAATTGTTGCATGAAAATGTCACTTCTGATCGAAATAACATCTGAGCCAAACTTGTTGAGAAAAGCAAAGTCTTTCTAGGAAAATATTCACAGATTTTTTTTTCGGAAGATCCGCTAACCTTTCGGAAATTCTATGGACTTCTTGGAATTTCTTTTATCTTCTCGATAGTTCAATGGGTTTCACGAATAATCGAATACCGACATGCTTAGGTTCAGTCTCCCGCAAGTCGTTCTCCAAATGGTCAACGATCACGGACATGTTTTCCAAACCCGAGCTCTACTGGATTCAGCTTCGATGTCTCATTTCATGTCAAAAGATCTTGCGAATCTGCTCTCCAGCTCGCAATCCAAGGTTGATGTGTCCGTAGCTGGAATCGGATAACCCCATCGAAAGATCAAGCGTGCAGTAACCACCACAATCCAGTCAAGAGTCGGATCGTTCTCTACAAAACTCCAATTGCATGTGATCGAGCACCCAACTGCTGATACACCCACCATGTACGTGCAGATTACTTCGTGGAAGCTTCGGAGCGTGCAGTTAGCTGATGCTGAGTTCCACATTCCCAACAAGACCTGACCTACACTCCGGTAAGAAGCTCGATCTAGGTCCAGACCTACCCCACATAATCTTGGCGTACTTTGGTTGGACATTCTGCGGTTCAACTTCTCAAGATTCCTCTAACTCGATGGTATGCCACATATCTAGCACTGATACACTGCTGGATGCCACTCTCCAAAGGTTTTGGGAGACGATTCCAAGCCAATCCGTTCATTCAACTACCGATAAGGCCTGTGGCAACCACAACCCGAGATCCCACCGGACGATACGTAGTTTGCCTACCGACCCGGAAGTCGTTTTGGGAAATTCGGAATCCATTGCCCAACGCCGATTCCTCAGCTTGGAACGCCGACTCGAGCGTGATCCTAGCACCAAATGCTCTTACCATCAATTCATGGAGGAATATGAGCATCTCGGACACATGATACGGCTCAACGATCCTGTGGACAACATGATACCGAAAGATAGCACATCATCAATTCAAGCTCTTGAGTACCACCACGAAGACGAGAGTAGTGTTTGATGCATCGTGTAAGACAGCATCGGGCTATTCGTTGAACGACCTACTATTTGTAGGACCAGTCTTTCAAGTTGATTTACTGTCACCCGTCATGCGGTTTGCTGCTGCCCCATTGTCATCAACGGTGACGTGGAGATGATGTACCGTCAGATGCTTCTCCACAAGGCAGACCGACCATATCACAGGATCAAATGACGCAAGGATGCATCCGAATCGATAGCCAGTAGCTAATAGTATCTAGTCACCAAAACTCTCCAAAAATTAACGAGTGATGCAGGTCACTTATTCCCTGTCGCTGCGGAATCAGTGAGCAAGAATGTTTACGTCGATAACTTTCTGTCAGGTGCCGATGATGTCGCAATCCGTCAGCACTCTCGGTCTAATCCGGGAACCTGGGACTGATATCTTTCGGTTCAAGGTGCAGTTACCTCTTCCAGCTGCTGTTCTCACCAAGCGTAGGAGCATGTCCTACGTGACTCAAATCTTCGATCCATCTCACTGCTACGAAAGCGAAGCTCTTCATGCAATATCTCTGGGCGTTGAAATTCTCTGATAACGAACGCTATGATTGGGACCAACCTTTGCCTCCAAAAATACAGCAAGAGTGGAAAGAGTTCCACACTCCCATCGACCTGCTTCGTGAAGTTCGAGTTCCTCGATTTGCTTCCATCACTTGCGCCGTCAGCATCGAGCTCCATTTCTTTGCTGTTGTGTCAGACAAGGCCTACAGGACGTGTTGCTATGTTCGTACGCAATATATAGAAGAAGTATCCGTGAAACTTCTGGTCTCCATATCCAAAGTTTCGCACCTAGCAGCAGCTGTACAATAAAGTCGCTTCGTCGTTGAAAACGATTCCACCTGCTTTCTTCTGGTCAGACTCAATCACCGTGATACAGTGGCTACGATCATCACCTGGACGTTGGAAAACGTGGCCAACCGTGGAGTCAATTCCAATCTGCTACCCCAGTCTATAAGTGGAACCACGTAGTTGGTTCCGACAATCCCGCTGACGACATCTCCAGAGGATTTTATCCAACTGAACTTCTGCACAAGAGAAGGTGGAGGAATGGTCCATATTGGTTGAAGATTCCACCTGAACTTTGGCCTGCAGAAGCGCTCCCAGCGAAAGAAATAACAGAAATGTCCCAAGAATGCCGCAAGATTCCAATCGTATCGATGACAGCTTTTCCAAACTTCACCGTATGGTCGCATGGTGGTTGCAATTCCTTCAAGCTCTTCGTGACTGTGCAATTCTTTGTCATTCGAATGCAATCAATCCAGGTGTGCCCAAAAGGTCAACTAAATCATGTCAGCCACTCAACTCTGACGAACTCCACTCGAGTGAATGCGTCCTGTGTCGACGAGCGCAGCAACTTCCAAGAAGAGCGCAACGATCTTGTCGCTCGTACAAACGTATCGAAATCGATTCCATTGAAGTGGTTGAAGCCCTACGTTGTTGAAGTTGGATTGATTCGCGTCGAAGAATGCCTCGACAATGCCTAACTACCCGAGTCTACCAATTACCCTACTGTCCCAAATGCCAAGCATCCGTTAACCAGCATGCTCCCTGTGCACTGTCACAAAACGTTGCTTCACGCTGGACCGTAATTGATGCTGACTACCCTCCGCCAGAAATTTTGGATTCTGGGCAGATGAAACCTCGTCAAATGCACGTATCATCAATGCATCACTTGCTTCCGAAGCAAGCCGAAATTGATTCAGCAAACTGTAACAGATTTAACAGTATCCCGTGTCACTCCGACGCGTCAGCTTTCCGTTTGTGGTGTAGACTACTGTGGGCCGTTCTATGTCAAACCGGCAATCGGGGAGCGAGGTCCAACGAAGGTGTATGTAGCAATTTCCATTTGCTTTTCCACACGATCCGTCCACATTGAAGGGGGAAGATTACAGCGCTGCACTCCGATAACGCCACGACCTTCAAAGGAACTTCACACGCCTTGCATCGAGTGTATCAAATGCTAAAGCAGGACGCCACTGACCGAAATCATATCCTTTCCTGGTGCGCAAAACCCGAGATCCGGTGGAAGTTCATCGCACCACGCGCGCCTTATTTTGGAGGCCTCTGGGAGACTGCGGTGAAATCCGCGAAGACCCACCTCCTCAAGGAAATAAGCAATACCAGTCTTGTCTACGAGGACATGCTCACTAGAGTGATGCAAAATTTGAAATTTTCGCTCAACAATACTTAAACGATTCCAAATCGGATCCTAACTAAGCTCTCAAAATTTGAACCCATTTGGTGAGAAACTGAGATGGCACAAACCATTTGAAGTTTGTATAGAAATTACTATGGTAAAACCAAGATTTTTGTTCATGTCTATCTAATAATTCACCATATCAGTCACTGCACTTGTAGGAAATTTTCTATAAGAATGGCTATCGAACTATTTCGCAGCTCAATATGGAAAACGACTAGAAGGCAATGAACAAAAAGTTGAGATTTCCCATAGTAATTTACA